CAGCGGGACCATGGCGCGGAGACCCGGGGCGCCGGCCGCCTACGGGGAGGAGTTCACCTTCGTCAGCCCGCTGGTGAAATACCTACTCTTCTTCTTCAACATGCTCTTCTGGGTGAGTCTTGGGGGTCATGGGAGCACCTGGGCTGCAGGGTACCCTGGAGGGCGGAGCGGACTGCCCGCAGCGGAGGAGGGGGCGGCCCGGGATGCCGGGTGCAAAGGTGAGAGTGGTGAGCGGCACTGCCTAGTTTTCTGGACTGACGCCACTTTAGGGGAATTCATTCTGGGAGGGATCCCACAGTGGCGCTGTGTCTGGAGGGAGTGTGTGTGGGGGGATATGCGAGGGATTCAGTTAAGATTTATGGGTAGTCGCTAGGTTTCAAGTGAGGGTCTCTGTGTGACCGAAAACACGGGTTTGTGGGCAGGTCCGGGTTTTCCTTTTGGCCGAAGGCAGACCCACTGGTGCATTCACGATTGGGGGTTTTCAGGCCTGGGGATTGGAGGCCCCGCTGGCAAAGAAGAGGAAGGGAAAAAAAAAACAAAAACAACGCACCCACTCTTGACCTCAGAGAAAATGGATTAAAGGGCTTCATCTCTTCCTTTCTGATACCTCTGGTACCCCCCTCCCCACAACTCCCACCCAAAGGCTAAGAAGACAGGCATGGCCTCTGAGTGTGTACTGTGTTTCCCATCTCACGACTGCCCCAAACTTTGCTCCACCTTTCTCAAGACCAGACTCCACCCCTGGAGCCTGACAGTTTTCAGCTTCTTTAGATAGGGCCCTGTGTTAGACTGGAAGGCCAGAGGTCCTTGCAGAAGCTTCTGTTTGGAGATGGAAAAGTGAAGAAAAGTATTGGATTGGGGCTCCAAACATCTGGATTTTTCATCACCACTCTGCCATTAATGGTTGGCTTGAGTGACCTGAACAAGTATGTTCACATCTGCAGACTTCAGTTCCCTCCATGGTAAAATCAATCCCAATATGATCGGGACTGGCAGAAATACCCTGCCCCAGCTGATAATTCAGCTGAACCAGATCAAATGCAAGCTCAATCCCGTTTCACATCTAGAGGGTCCCTGGGCCCTTCCAGGTGTGAGGAGACAGGGAAATCTTTTCCTCATCTCCCCAGTTCTCTTCTCCCAGCTCTCCAATTCTCTGCAGCTCTTACCACAGCAGAGCTTCTGTTGTGGGAGCCCCTCCTCGCCCACTTCAGCCTGAGACCTGAAGTTCAGACTTGCAGGAGAGAGGAATTGTGAGTCTAAAAGATGTTTCCTGGGAGAGGGAGCCGACCAGACATCTAAGCTAGTCGCTAGGAAGGTTTCACAAGGGCCGCGGTGTGAAGTGCAGACACAAAGTACCTAAGTGCTAGCCTGTTGGGACAAATGAGAGAAATCCCAGGGGGTGGCAACGACAGCTCACTCTCAGCCCTCGCACTCCTGGGAAAGATCAAGTTTGGGCTCCTGTCAAATTCTCAGTTTTAGAACTGCAAAAAAAAAAATTTTTTTTAGAAGGCATCCTCTAGGGAACCAGCAGTTAGCATAATGAGTATGTCGCTGGACTCCCACGTTGTCGACTGCGGTTCATGTCCCAGACCCGGTAGCTTAAAACTCACGCCAGGCGTGTGTGCGTGCGTGCCCATGATCCTGAGAAGAGAATGGAGGAGAAGGGATTGCGGCGTGACCATCCCCCCTGGGGGGTGATTTCTCGCTTTCTGTCTCTATGTCTCTCTGTCTGTCTGGCGAGT